AATGGCGCTAATAATATAATTGCAGATGTTTTATCGCGGAATCCAATAAAAAAAATGATGATAGAATAGCAAGCAAAAATAAAACAGTGATGTATATAAGAAATCTTACTTATGACACAATAACTATCTAAAAAAGAAATTAGAGAAGACGCAAAAGATCTAATCTTAAGAAGAGTAAAAATATTAATAAATGGTACAAGTATACAAAATCAAGCACAATAATTATAAGCTTTTAGAACAAGAATAGATGAAATAAAATGTACGGTATTTTGTTTTGGAATGGCAAATTAATCATTCCATACTCACTTTAAAAAAAGGGTTTTACATATATTGCATACTGGACATCCGGTTATTACATCAATGAAATCCATTACGAGTTATATACAGTGGGTACAATTTGATAAATATGTTGAAAAACTAGTTAACAGCTGTATAGGATGTCAAAAACAACGTAGAGATATATCAGGTGTTGCCGTATACCCATGGAATCCGCCAACCCTGGAAAAGGTTGCATTTAGATTTTGCCGGACCACTGGGCGGATTTTATTGGCTAGTAGGAATCGATGCATACTCAAAATGGATCGAGATCATTATTAAAGATATAACAAGTCAGAATTTGAATAAATAGATTAGAAAAATGGGTTACTCGATATGGTATACCACGTCAAATTGTAACCGACAATGGTCCACAATTTATTTCAAATGAATTTGATAAATGGTGTAAAAACAAGAATATATAACCTTTAAAAACTACACCGTATCACCCGAGAAGTAATAGTTTATTAGAAAGATGCATTCAGACTATTAAAAATCGATATTTCGCAAATAGAAAATAAACAAAAGTTCCCAAAACTCAAAAAGTCTTTTATTTCAAATCAAAATTCACAATGATATTTTTATAAAAAAAATTAATTAAAAAAAACAAAATATATTTTGATTGACCTTAAATAAGTAAAATATTATTCTTCGCTGTATTTTATTGAACAACTGCGACACAAATGATGGAGAAAAATCTAAAGTAAGCGCTATTTACGTATAGAAATTCAGAACACTCATCAACGGGGCGAATACCATTAAAACTATTTATGGGAAGGTTACTAAATACATTATTCGACAGGGTCAAACCTTCTATTAATGAAAAATTAGAAACTTCTATAGTGAAACCTAACCAGATAGACAAAGGAATATATAGATATTTTGGAAAAAACGATTTAGTTTGGATAAAAACCCCAATTGAAAAAGAACAAGCTAAATTCTCATATAATTTAGAAGAAAAAGAAAAAATAGTACGAAAACACGACGACCTACTACAAACAATGGAAAGAACTAGTTGAACTTGAATCAATAAATAGATAACAATATAAAGTTAGGAGAAGACAGTTAAACAATTGAACCAAGTCAAGATATAATTCAAACCCGATATCCAACGATGGAACGAAAGCAAACAACAAGATTAATAGACTATCTTGAACTTTGTGGGAAATAAGATATGTTATATTTTATATATTTTAAAAGGTTATAATATTCAACGTTATGAATTATATATTTGTCATACAATCATATAACATTTATATTTAATATTATATATCAGTTAAATTGAATACTTATAGAAGTTAAATTGAATAATTATAGAATAGTATATATATACAAGAATTGAAAATATAAAAATATTGACCATATATTTTATTAAGTTTCTTAAAGATATAAAAATCTTCTAATATATTTAGCATTTTTTATAGTTTATTGACGGATTTCTAGATTTACCCGGGTATGCTAGTTTCCCCTCTAATCCCCTTTCTCCACTTGTTACGGTCCTGGGCATCGTTATTTGCAAGGCACATTTTAAGTTAATCGTTATCACTTTCTCCACGTCTTCGTTGGTCTTTCTCGAAATTTATCTTTACTTTCATCGAAGTGCATCTCCCCAATCTTATTTCATTCAACATGCCCAAATAACCTCTTTCTTCGCATCATTCCAATCCTTCCCAATTCATGGCTTGTTTTTTCTCTTAGAGATTACCCCATATATCCATCTGACAATTCTTAGCTAAAATTGGTATAAGTTAAAAAATATTGATGCTAAAAAGACGTCATTTTGTAACTCTATTAAAGGCCATTTAGTAAATATTAAATATTTTTTTAAATAATAATGTCCGTTTTTATTTACGTTATAAATTTTTAACCTGGAAGCTCCAGATGTTTTGCTCCCCCAATTTCTTAGAATTTAATATTTAGGGACAGCTATGGTTTTTTTTAGTTATTGCGATTTAAAAAAAAAATTATTTTCAAATGATGCTCCTATATAAAATATAAAGTTTTTGTTAAAATTATTATTTTATAAAAAATTCCCCATTTTTAAACATAATTCACCATATGTCGATTTTATAATTTGAGAAAACTATATATATATTTTCACCAGAATGTGAATCAATAAATGGAACTATATCTAATAACAATGACTTCATCTCCCATTTTTCATCAATAAAGTGGCAGGTCAACCCTAAAAATGGTACATTAGTGGGGCTTGACCATATGTCAGTGGTAAAGTTAATTTGGCACTTTAAATTATTTTAACTTTATTTAATTCTTTATTTAAATCTCATTCATATATTGTTTAATTGAAGGTATTGAACATATTTTTATGTCAGGATTCAAAGCTCTAACCAATGACTTGAATTCCTGTGTGGCGAGAATTTTAAATGGTATATTTAATTTGAGTAAAAATTTTAATAAATAATGCTTAATATCATCAGCATTTGTTCTGGATACATCATTTAAATAGTTTTTTATCGTATTATTATTTTAAATTTTTTGATGTAACCTTTTATTATGATTAATTAGTGCCGAGGTAGTTTTTTTCTTGCACATTATTTCTACATTACATATTTTACATCTAGCTGTTTCTGTTTTAGAATCATGCAGATAATGATTCCATATTAAAGAATTTTTCCGCCTAACATTAACATTAATTTGATCAGATATTGATGTAGATCTAGAACTATATGAGGATTGACTATGTCCTTCACCATAACTTCTTCCATCAAGATTTTCTAATTGATCTTTGAATATATTTAAAATTATATATATCATATAAAATCCAAGCTTACCATTCTTCCTGAAATTCCAGATCAATGATACATTAACAGCTGAAGAAAAAATATTTAAAATTTAAAACTTAAGAAACAGTAAATTAATTAAACAGTGGCATAGGCTTGGGGGAGGCTGTTTTTTAAAAATAAAATTATTTTAATTTACTATTTTTATTCCTCTTATGAATTAAAAATTATATTGCAATATGATTATATTAGTTTTAAATATATTCTTAAAATTTATGCAAATACTATTTTTAATCAAAGTACAAATACAATGTATTATTTATATTTTGAAAATATTTTCATATTTTTTTTAAATACCAGTATTTGCATAAGAATTATTTATATTTTATATAATTTTTATACAATAAAATTTTTAAAATTATAATCTATATAAAATATCTATATTTTAAAATTTATTTTAAATAATAAAAATAAATTCATGATTAAATAAAGGAAGTTTATGCTACTAAAGTATTTTAATATAATAAATGGGTGAGAAAATCCTGGCTAAGCCACTGAAATTAAAACTTCAAAATATTATTGTTAATTTTGTAGTATATAAATTATACACCATGTTTTAAAATTGAATATAAAATTATTTAAGATGTAATATCATTTTATTAGAAGTGATTATGAAAATGTAATTAATAGTGATTATGATACACTATCTGAATTAGATGATTGTCTTTAAAATTTACTAAAAATAAGGTTACTAAATGGGAAAAGGATTTTCCTAATCAAAGAACTAGTCAAAAAAATTTAGTTATTTATCTGCCAGGAGCTTAACAATATGGGAAAGAGGCGCACTCCATAAAAATGTTTTGACTTGTTCTTAACACCAAAAATGATTAAAGAATAAAGAGAAACCATCAAAATAAAATAATTATATTTTAGTTTACTTTGGGGCTTTTCCTTAAACTTTGTCAGCAAATAATATAACTTATGATTTGGTAATAGGAAATAAAATTAAACGAAATGATATCCACTAGGAAAATTTAATTACTTCTTTTTTTATTATACTTACAAATAAAATATTTGCGAAAAATTACGAATATTTTATATAAATAATTTCTAATAATACGAATAATTTTCCTCGTTATTCATATTCGATTCGAAATTTCAAATCGAATAATTGTGCTATTCGTATTTGTAAAATACGAATTGAATTTCGAATAACAAGTAATTCGTTTTAGGCCTATATATGACCAAAGATATTAGTATTTATTATTAATAGGGCTGTGCCTGTTTTCCAAAATAATCGGATCGGGCCGTTACCTGTAAAAAACCGATTCGATCTTTTTTCTTTGTTATTTTATATACATTTATTTTTTATTATTAATATATAATTTTTTTTAACGTTATCTACAGAATTCTAATTTCACCGGTAGGAATGATGAAAAATTCATTTAATACTACCAATATCCATAAATTTTTTAATTATTATAGAAATAAAAAAATTAAATTAAATGCATAATTAGATTTTTTTGCATAAAAAATATTTATTTCTTAATTACATTTGGTTCAAAGGGGGGTGGTAAAAAATCAATATGAATATCGCGGTTTTGAGCTAATATCTGATTGGATCGCTGAAAAATATGAGGATCGACACAGACCTATTAATAATTATTTTGTCACGTGAAGCATAATCATAATTTTTTTTAATATAAAAACGAAGTAGCCTTCACTGCTCAACTCGAGATCACGCCTCTGAGGCTTAGCAGGTGCCTCGAAATTTTTTTATAGTCTGAACTCATTTTTCTTTAGATCGAAGACTTTTGTAACACTAAAGATCACAATTTACTAGTACATTTTAAACTTTAATTTGAAAAAATATATACCCATTCGTTACCATTACTTATTTTACTTTTATTTGCATAATCCCATTATTTATTTTGAATAATCCAGAAAATGATAGCAAACGAAACGTTAGCTTACTACATGGGTAGGATATACTTATTCTTAACCAAGATAGGCGTATCCGCTGATAAAATACGTTTTAGACAACACATGAATAACGAAATGGCTCACTATGCTTGTGATTGCTGGGATGCCGAATGCCTAACTTCTTATGTTAAAAAAAATTATATTTTTTTTATACAAAATTTGCATGATTTTATCATAAAAATTAAGGTTCTTATATTTTGGGAAATAGAAATAGAAACCCTATAACAATAAAGAGAAGATTTGAATTTATAATTATATGGTAACTTTATTATTTTTAATAAAACGTAAGTTATCTCCTTGAAATTTAAATCAAAATTAGCATTTTTAAAGAATGCTGAAATTATATTTTTAAAATATATTATATGATTTTGATTACAATAAGGATATTTTTATTGCATTTCTTATTGGTAATTAGACTTAATATTATAAAACTTTTGTCTGGGTTGTTAAACAATGCTTATAAAAATATCATTACACTTGGAATACCGCAAATTCAATTTCTTTTCTGCCCTAGCCCAACCCGGAATTTTTTATTAAATTTTATGCATCACTCGAATTTTTATTTTCGTTCCTAGACCGGTTACAGTTTTTAATTTAACGCATTTTTATAAAATTAATAATTGCTTTGTCCTAATCCCAGAGAAATTTTTAATTATCATCTTAATAAAAGAAACAAAAATATCCTTCTTTAAAAAGATTTTATTGCCTAACCTGGCCCAATTATTTTTAAGGTTTTGATCCTGTCCGGATTTGAAATTTTTTTTAAGCCCGAGCCAGACATTAACCTGAAATCCTTATTTGCTAATTTCATATTTAAAGAAAAAAGAAGAAAACGCTCCATTGTTAAATTCATAGAAGAAACGAGAGATTTTTTTATTTTCAATTTAGGAACATCGTCTTTAATGGCAATAAAATAAAGTAAAACATAAATATTTTAACAATTTTTAAATTTAATAATAGTAATCAATAAGCTCTTTCGAAATTAATACATCTGATAAAATATTATTTAATCAAAATGCGAGTAGGGGAGACCGGGGTCGTATTGTTCATAAAATATTGAAGTGCTATAAAAAATAGACGAAGTAAATTTTTTAAAACAACAATTTATTTTTATACTTTCCATATATCTCTACGGTAGAAATTAATATTTAAGAAATAAATCTTTTATTTTTTTATTAATATAAAATTTTAAAAAATTAAAATTTAAGAATCATGAAAAACACCCGGGGTCTATTATTCTTTCGCATTGGGTGTCATCGCACTGTTAATCTATATTATATATATCACCCGGAAGAAATTATCACTTTTGTCACTTAACTGTTATATATTTTACAAAAAATATGTCAATCATCTTCAGTAGCGTACGCAGGAATTTGGTGTGGGGGGGGGGATAATTAAAATTTTTTAAAATAAAATTATTGTTATTTAAAAATATCAAGCATAAATTTATTAGGACTAATAACTATTTCTAATATACAAATTTAAATTAATATGAATTATAAAAAATTAAATATATAAACCGATATATAAAAATAAATTTGATTTAAAAAGTATTAAACGGATAAAACCGGCGGCATATAAATACTTTAAATAAATCTGAATTATAAAATATTAAGTGGATATAACCAGGATATGATGACTATAAAATAAATAATCCATAATAGAAATTTAAATTTTTTTGAGCTTTTAAAATTTATATATAAAGTATAAAAAATCTAAATGTTGGAAATATGATTAATTATATTTTTTATGTAAAAGAAAAATATATAAGACATTAAAAAATGATAGCACAAAAAATATTATAGAAACATTATATTTTTATAATGTAAAATCCAATCTTCGTTGGGAGTGAGCTAATTTTTCAATTATCTCATCCGTGTTTGGCTTCAAATGCCTATGAATATTCAAAAGGGCCAGACCATTCAACCTACTTTCAGAAGTTATACTTCTTAGGTACGTTTTTAATCTTAAAGAAGAGAATGTTCTAGTTGCAGTACTAATGGGGAGTTGCTAATATATAAAAATTTCAATATATTGGGAAAATAATCTAAAAGATGTTTGAAATGATGCAAAGCATCCATAGCATTTTTTGGGACTATATCAACCATAGTTAATCTTTTATACCATAGTTGGCATTCAGCTAATAAAGCATCATGAGATACATTAATGTCTTCATGATAAAAATCTTCCAAATATTTTATTTTTTTTCTATCATCATCTGAAAAAGGTTCAGAGGGCTTTTGCGGAAGTAATATCTGCAGATTGGTAAGTGCTTCTTGATGAATTAAAAACCTTTCATTTACTTGGGTTATAAATGTATCCGAAAGAGGTATAAAGACATTTATTTTATAATATCTATTGACCCTATATTAATATTTGGACGATCTTACTGCAAGTCGAGGGAGACAAATATTGAACTCGTATAGCTCTGCTTTTGATTCAACATTAACATATAAAGTATGAAATTCCTCATCAGCATTAGCTCTAATTTCTTTGAGTTCTAATAAAATTGTCTTTGCTATTCTCAACTCAATTAAATCAATATCAGGTTTTTGAAAAGTATTACATAAAATAGTTGTATAATTAAATAATTTATTAATACATTCTAATGCGAAAAAAAAATTTGGTATAAGTATTGAATCCAGTAACTTGCTTGCTTCTGAAGAAATATCTCTTTCAGACCATTGTGATATTTCTGTAAGAGCATTAATAATCGGCTCTTCTAACTCGATAAAAGCTGTTACTGCTTGATGTCGAAGACTCCATCTTGTTGGACAAGCTTTTTGCAATTTTTTTCTCCTTGTTGGGCAAGGAGTTTCAGATATAATTCTGTTCAAAATATTTTGACGCTTGGGGTATCTTACATCTCATAGATGCTAGATATTTTACCTGATATAAATATAAAAAATTTAATTTTAATAATTAAAAACCTAAGCAATTTGATATCAATGGTAAAGAACATGAATCCGATATTGCTAAGTTGAGTGAATGGGCAGCACAGTGGACATATATAGCTGTTGGGCATTTTTTTTAATAAATGCCTGAAGCCCATTGAATTGTCCACTCATTGCAAGTGCTCCATCATACCCTTGCCCACGTATCATATTTATATTTAGCTATATTTTTGAAAATAATTATATAATAAGATTAATTATTACTTTTAATTTTTTAAGATTCACAAATATTACATCAGCTAAAGCAGACCCAGTCATGCTTGAAACAGGAATAAATTGGAGAAACATTTCCTTGATAATGTTTTTATGAGTATCTACATATCGCGCACACAACGACATCTGCTCAATGCCAGCAATGTCCGTGGTCTCATCTGCCAAAATTGAGAAGCATGGGGCAGAATTGATTTCAACAATCAATTTTTCTAAAATGATATTGTTGCAAATATCAATTATCTCATTTTGTATCCTAGGGCTGAGATAAGTAGCATTTTTATTGGTACTAATGAGGCTCTCCATTAATACAGGATCTCCTAATGCTTTAAATTTTAAAAGTCCACGGAAATTACCTTCGTTATCATTATTATTAAAATTTAAGCTTCCTGAATCCTTGTGGCCACGAAGTGCTAGGCCTTGCAAGCCACAATATAAAATAGCCCCAATAGTTAGTTTTATCTTGCCTCTATTTTCTTTTGCAATTTTAACCCTATTTTTATCAATTATTGATGAAATGGGAATCATTGAATTGATTCTTTTGAGGAAATCATCGGTTCACAGCTTTTGTTTATTAAATTATTATACTATACTTTTTTGCTTTTTGGCATGATTTTCACCTTCAGCGTTTTTAAAAAAAAGTCTAATATCCATGACTAGAAAATTAAAAATTATAATACCGGGAAATTTAAAAATAATAGATAAATATTACGCCACAAGGAAAACTTGAAAATGAAATTAATTGATAAAGTAAATTAGTATGAAAAAGGTAATAATATTTAAAAAGAAATAGATGTGAATAATTATAATAAAATATAAAAAATAATATTTTTGAAAAATATGTCCGGCATCTGCATTTTGGCTTTGAGGGGGGGGGGGGGATTTATCCCCCTGCCCCTCCCCGCTGCGTACGCCAATGATCATCTTAATTTTGTGATTCATAGCCCTAGAAAACTAGTGGTTTCTAATGTTCTTATAAGAAGGGTTGCCATGTCGGTCAATTGACCGGTCAAATACTCTAAAATATTAATGGCGAATAAATATTTTGATATAATTAACTAGTATGCATTAAAAGCATGTTTATCAATCTTATTAGGTTACAATTATTTAAAAAATTATTTGTATCATGAATTGTTAAAAACAAAAGAATTTTTTTATTGTTAAAATATAAATATGTAATTTTCCTAAATATAGTAATATTTTTAGTTATTTTTTTGCCTAATCATTGCCGTTTCTCGCCTTCTTCATTTTTTTCAATTCATTTTTTTCTTAAAAAAAATAAAAATACCCGATTTATTATAATCATAATATAATTTTTTCATTCTTATTTTTTAATAAATTTAAATTTTATTTAATATTTAGCCGTGTATAAATTATATTAATTCTCATTTGTTTTACTTACACTTGCTATATTTGGTTTTTAAAATTAATTTTCATTTTAATTGTTCTGGTCAGATTTACGGAATATTATTCAATTCTGGTAAAAAGTTATATATATTATATTATATTTATAATATTAAGAAATTATTGGAATAATTGGTCGATAATTATAAAATAGTTAAGATTGATTAACTTTACAATAATCAAAATCATTTTTTGTTAAATTTTAATATATTAGGGATTATGGTCAAACCAAAGCATCATGTTTGGAAACATTTTCAAGAAGTACGCGATGGTAAATCAGTTAAAGCGGTGTGCAAGTTTTGCAAGATGTCCTATATCACCCACGTTGATAGAATGGTCAAACATTTATTAAGCAGCTGTACTATGTGCCCTGTTATAATTAAGGAAAAATTTTATTCAAATTATTCCAAAATATCAACCTCTACAAAAAATATCACAAATGTAATTTGTAATACTTCTAAGTCTAACTCTAATAAAGAATTGGGTGAAATTAGTGAGAATGATTATCAAATGAACAATATTTTGTCTTGTGACTCAGGAGAATTTGATTCCATTATT